CAAGAAATCATAAAACTTGTCAACCTCTTCTTTAGAGGTAGCATTCCAAGCTAAATGATGATATCCAACCGCATATCTGGTATGTTTAATATCTTTATGTTCTTCTCTTGCTGGTGCAATACCAAATTGACCCAAGGATTGGTTCACCCAGCCAGTGTAAAAGTCATTGTTTCTTATAATTTTGTAGCCTGTATAAGAATGGTTTAATTACTTCTCGTGAGAAAATAAAATTTATAAATTTGATAAATTTTAATATTTTTCACATACCAAGTTTAGGAAGAAAAGAGTTATAAAACTCGAAACTCTTGTTGTAATCGGAAACGCAAATATAAAAATGATGAATAGTTCCTAAAACTGGTTGTTGACTCATTTTTGGAATTTTAATTCGTAATAACAATGATAACGACAAATGTAAAACTTTTTTTTTCTTAAAGATCTATTTATCGTTATATTCTACAAAAATAGCAACTAATTATAAAAAATGCACATAGCCACATAATTAATTTACCAGAAGATTATTTTCATCGGATAACGATAACGATAAGGGATGTTAAATGATGTAATTTTTCGTATGTAAGTTTCTGTAACGGTAAGGGTGTTTTCAAACACCTCACTCAATGGATCGGAGGCAAAAGCATCCACCCAGACGCAGATCGAAATAGTGCACAAGTATCATGACTAATTTTAGCTATTCTCATAACTTTTAGATAAAAGTCACTGCGAATGATGATATCGATATTGTTGAAATACGCTCAAGTATAATTTTGACGGAGTAGGATCGATTTTACTGTCACGTGATACTCGGAAACCAAACGTTGTTGAGTTAAAAACTTTTTTTATATTTGGGTTAGGGTTTAGATTAAGGTTAGGAAAACTCCAAGGATGGTTTATTAAACTAAAATTTGAGATAAGTGTGAATTTTGCAAAGCGAACGTTTACGTTACACTTGATCCTGATCTTTGATTGGCTGATGGACGTCGGAAAATCATGTGACAGTAAAAGCGATCCTACGCAGTGTTAAAGATCTGAAAAATTTTTTTGGTTCTTTGAGAAGCAAAGATACCATTCTTGATGGATTGTCGGTACTGTTTTTGATAGGTAGCAAAAAAAAATAAATAATCCGTATATCGTTCTTGATAGGGTTCTAAAAAGAACCTCTAAATACTATACTACTATAGTGAAAAACAATTAGGAGTAGAGTTCGTTTTTTTTAACCTTATCAAGAACAGTACCCAAATGAATTTTTTTTATTAACCCCCATCAAGTTCAGTACTGCCGATCAATCAAGAATAGTATTTTTGCCTTTGAGAACATAAATTGATAATTTTTTTTATGTTCTCATAAACATTTAATGTTCTAATGATAAAAAAAAAAAAAAGAAAGAGAAATTATATACTGTATTTTCTATATATCATATGAGAACATAAATTATAAATTTTAGGTTCTTTAGTTGGTTCTCAAAAGAGAACATAATTTTTAAATACAATGTTCTCAAAGTTTTTTAAATGTTCTTGAGAACACTGAGAACATTAGATCTTTAACACTGATCCTACGCCCTGGCGTTACTAATAATTAGTGATGCTCAATTACTACGATAGATCAAAGTAACAATGCTTGAGTAAATTCTAAATGATTTATAAAATAAACCATAATAAAACAGCACTACGTTAGTGTGTTGATAACAAATATCATAATACAAAACATGAAAACGTTTGAACAGTAACTCTATTTACTTTAATAGTTCCGGGACAAAGTTTTTTGACTGAAATAACAAACTCACGATTATTTTTTCACTAATGGAATTTTTCTTTGACTTAAATAAACCACGTGTCCTGTACTTTATTCATCTTAATACAAGCAGGTTAAAAATACATTCCTCTAATTAAAATTTAATTCCCGATACACTTTGGCTCATTGATCGAGGCGCTTGAGAACACCCCAAGTGAGTTACCATTTCGATAAACAAATCAACGAGATACAAACCATCTCTTTTCTTCAAAAATTTACCATTGATAAAGGTCGCTCAAACTTTACTTAAAATTTTTTACATATCAAAAATAATAAACAATGAATTCTCAACAACTTTCTAACCGGTATGAAAAAATAGTCATTTTATTTTTAATTCTCGAAGCTTTTAAAACAAATAATTAATATCTTGATCTTAACGTAATGAATATAGCCTACCTTTAAACCTTTAATCAAACCATAATGAATGTTGCTACTCATTTTTCATTCAATAAAAGTTAATTATTAATATTTGCAAGAAAAAAAAAATTTATTTCTTGTTGCTGTAATACAACTTTCATAAATAGATTCTGTTGCTGTTGCAACAAAGATTTAAATTGATAAAATCATTAAAGAAGAAACCAACACAGCTGCAGTTAAAATTTCAGCAGTTGGTTGAGTAGAAATTTTTTTAAAGTGTTTTAGATAGCATAATGTAGATTATGAAAAACAAAAAAGTATTCAAGTATTTAAATTTATAAATATTAATCATTAATTGAGATGCTTGAGTATTATGAAATCATTATTTAATTAATCAATTGAGATACTTAAGAATGTCCCAAATCACATCTCTTTCTGACAATTCTTTGAACAGCATAACAAAAAATTGAACTACAGAAAAATGTTATAGAAAGGTTCGAAATAAATACTATTTTCAGTTTTGTCTTTGAGTAAGCAGTTGTCAACAAAGTCTAAAGATATGAAATACTGTGAAGTGGGCATAACTTAGGCAGTTTTTCTTGGGGTCAAGCCTTTCTGTTATCTGTAGATTTCTTAAGATATTTGGTATTCAAACCAAAAGGTTTTTATTCTGAGAACTGAACTTATCTCTGAACAGGTTGTTGTTGATAAAGCTTGAAAGCTATGAAACATTAAGAAATAGGTGTAACTTAAGTAGTTTTTTTTGGGTCAAGTTTTTTTGAATAGTGAACTCCTCAGAATATTTAGCATTCAAACTAGAAGATTTATTCTAGAAACAAGTAGTAGTTAGACCCTTGCTGAGATAGTATAATCTTGAAGAGTCAACTATACAACTATAAAATTTATAAAAGAATCTCATATATTTTTGTTAGCCTTTTACTTTTTTTTTAGAAAAATTTTATAAAAAAGTGGGTGATTTAGCTTACCTTTTTCAAAAAATCAATATATTGTTTAGTTATCAAATCAGGTGATATTAGGCTATACAAACTTAATAAATCAGTTCTCATAACCTAGTCAGGTCAAATTTTACAAAACTTTAAAAAAAAATTTTAAGTATATTTACTATCCAGGTAGGTTTTCTAAAAAATTTGTAAAAAAATTTTATATGTTTTTTATTTATGAAATTTTTTGAAAATAAAATTAAAAGCTGGGTTGCCAGGTCACTTTCAAAACTTTTATGTTATGAGAACCGATTTATTAAGTTTGAATAGCCTTATTTACTTTTTTCTGTCACAACAAATATATAAATATATATAAAATATAAATCTGTAGATTACATATTTCAAACAAACAAATAATGTTCTAAGTCTAATGATATGAATTTCTGATCTCTCTATGGTGTTGATATCAAAGAAGCTGATTTTTCTTTCTAGTTTAAAGTTTTTTGTTTAAATATATTAATTATATAAATTAGTATAGAGAATAGTTTAGATAGTAATATGTAATTTTTACAAAGCCTGATATAGACTCATAATTATAACCATCTGGTATGGGTGAAAAATCCTATATTTAGTTTAGTTTTTTTTATAATTTCTTTATTTCTTTTATTTCTTGTTTGTTTTTTTTATATATTTCTCTATATCTTTGTATTTCTTTATAAAATTTTTTTCTTTCACTTCTTTACAAGATATCATTAAATTGGTAATATCTTATTATAATTTAGTGATTAAATAAGCTCTGGAGAATATTATCTTAATTGATTGTATTTTTCTGATTTGGTAAATTATCTGTAGATATGTATAGATAATTAGTTAGGTTATGTGAAATAACTACAAGATGTCAGATTTCAATTTTAATATTTTGTACTCTTCATAAAATAATGCTTGATTAAATAAAAGATACTGGTATGACCCAGCTAAGTAAAGCAAAAAAAATCTTAATTTATATATATTATTTAAGTCTAGATTGATCTAAAAATACAGTATTTAACAAAAGTTTCTCTGTACTTATATCTTCTTATATAGAGGTGCTATAGTCTTGAAATTTTCAAAAACATTAGTACATATATAGCTTAGATTATATATTTTTTTAAAGGTTTTTTAATTATTAAAAAAATTTTAGATAAGAGCAAAAGTCAAGATATTTTTTTAAAAAAAATAAATAAATTAATTGAATGCAAAGAAAAATTAATATATTATTAAGGCTTAAAGTTAAAAATTCTAAAAATTAAAATATTAAAATTTAATGATTTCTGTATTGGTGATAAAAAATTTGGTCTGATTTGATGAAATAATTATTAAGAGATTAATTTTTTAAAATTTGAGTTTCATTTTTAAAAATTACAAAGTAAAAACTTTTCAATCAAAACTATCTTGATATTTAGTAATCCAAATTTGATGATTTTGATATCATTCAAATTATCTTGATAAGACAATTCAAATGATAGCAAAATTATCAAATTTGAATTATTAGAACATGTGATATTTGTAAAAAATGTTATGCAATACAAAAAGTGTCAGGTCTCAGCAAATTAAAATAAAACTTAAAACTTTAAAAATTAATTTCTCAATAATTATCTTATCAAATTGAATCAAATTTTTGTTACTAATACAAAAATCATTAAAGTTTAATCTATTAATTTTTAGAAGTTTTAGCTTTAAGTCTTGATAATATATTAAATTTTCTTTGAATACAATTATTTTTTTAAACAAACTTTGGCTCTTATCTAAATTTATTTCTAGTAATTAAAAAATCTTCAAATAAAATATATGATCTAATTTGTATATGTATTAACTTTTTTGAAATTTTCAAGATCATAGCATCTTTTTATAAAGAGATATAGGTGCGAAAAAACTTTTGTCGAGTACTGTAGAATATAAAAAGCTCTAGCAAATTTATTTTAAAAATAAAATAATTTTAAATTAAATGATAAAAGCTAAAATAGTAGATATCTTAGTTAATTTTTTTATAATAAAATATATTATTAATATTTATTTTTATTTTTTATTTTTTTTGGTGATCTTGCCTTTATTATTTATATCAGAAGTACCAGAATTTTACATTTAAACTAAATATAAATCTTCTATACTATATTCTTGTACTAATAAAGACTCACTCGGTGTTAAAGCCCAGATGTGACCCACCTAAGCAGCCAATTTGCTTCATGTTGAATCCTCAACTTCCTGAGAATTTGGTTTCTTCGATCCTTAGCTGAGGGCTGCCAAC